CTTTCAGAATTCATAAGGCAGTATCCATCTGGCTTTAGAAAAAGCTGTTTCCCCCCCCTTTACTGTGTGTTTCTGGGATGCAGTAAGAAAAAGAGGTTAAAGACAGACCCGTTAAGGTTCTTCCTGGAAACATGGTGCAGCCAAGGGACTACATTCAGCTTTCACCTTTGCAGTCCCTCCATACCTGGGAAACTCCATGTGGAAAAAAGGGCTGCGGAACATTCCAGCAGGAAAGACCACCATGTTGTGCCTTATTGAGTAGTATGAATGCACCGCCCAGGGGGACACATGCCAGCTAGAAGTAGAAAAAGAGAAACGAAAGAATGTATTAGCTCCTTATCTCATACCTTGCTCCTTTCCTCCACTAGGCTTGCAAAAATGGTCTGCTCAGTACAACTGTTCTTAGAGCAGCAGCAAACTATTACGTTCACATTATCTAGAGTTAAAGGTGTTTGAAACAAACCTTCACTTGTTTACAGACAGTCAGAGCTAGTAGCTTAGCTTTCACACACATTGAGATTCACTCTCACAATTTCCCTGTCAAGTAAGCCAGGATTAGTAACTTCCTGTGAAGTCCTGCACAGAATATTCTTCAGGCGGTGTAAAGTCCCAGGCATGCCCATCAATGCTGCCTGCCTTCTGAAGCATCCTATGTCTTGCCTTTGAGTCGACCCTGCCAGTGTTCACATCAACACAGTGCTTTGCCGTTTGCTTTGCTGCTAAGGCCAGGAGAACAAGCTATCCCCCTTACTCACAGCTTCATGGGCAAAAAAGGTTCTTTTTTCAGAAGTCTGGGGCTCCCTCCACAATGGTGGGGTTTTTTGGTAGCATGAGCTCAGGCTGAATACAAGACAGGCTGCCAGATTCAAGGTTTTTTTAAGACAGATGCAGCAATGCAGCCTTGCAGCAAAGAAGGACAACAGCATCTTGTCTTGCATTAGGAGAAGTGTCACTGGCAGGTCAAGAGACGTGATTATGCTCCTCTAATCAGGACTGGTGAAACTACATCTGGAAGTACTGTGTCCAGTTTTGTCCCGGCACCCCACCCCACCTGCTCTCCCCTTCCTTCCCCAGTAAAAGAGAGATATAGACATACAATTGGACACAGTCTTGAGTGACCTGCTCTAGCTGATCCTGCTTTGAGCAGGAGGGTTGGACTAGATGATCCCCACAGGTCCCTTCAACCTCGGTTAGTCCACAAGCACGTGATTCTGTTATATTTTTCAGATCAGTATCTGACACTTACTTATCCTGTGAGTGATGCTGAAGGAGTTTCAAGTAGGAATTTTCCCTTAGTACTTCCAAGCAAGCCACCACATTGAGGAAAAAAGTGTCTTCATTTATCTGTAACTGAGGGAAGAGATAGGCAATGTGACTGTCATACGGCATGAGCGAGGAATTAATTGGACACTTTGAGAAAGAGAAAAGTCTCACTGGTCAAAAAAGGGTTCATCAAAAGACAAACCAATGGAATACTTGTGCAGTTTTCTCTCCCAGTTCTAAAGACCTTCAGTTTAAACATGACAGGAATGTTATCTGCAGGCCAAACAGAACATATAAGCAGGTCACAACCTATCTCTATCAAGCCAGCCACTCTAAATAGGAGACAGCGTGGGCAACAATATAGAAGCAATAGATAAAGGTTCTCTGGGCCCATATGTTCTCATAAAACGAACACTAGGAAATGTGCATTGCTCCAGAGGTTATAGCCTCTTTTAGCAGCAGACAAGACAGCAGTCAGTTCAGGTAAACTGCCAATAATGAGGCAGGCATGTTTACATTATATAGCTCACATTCTGGTATTCCAGGTTCACTTTGGCAGTCTGGAGTATGTGAGCTGGATAGCCAATCTCCACTTGTAGTTCGGAAATCTAAAATCAAATAAACAAATAGAAACATGACCAATAGAAGGCTTTACATTCTACAAGTCCTCTTTAAACTCTATTTCTAAACAACCTAAATGCAATCTGTGAATCAGCCCTTCAAAATGATAGCTACTCTGTTTCAACAAGACATCTTCTCTTTCTACTTTGCTTTCTTAACTCAGTAACCTGAGGCCTAATGTAGTTCTACTCTTCTTTTTCTCTATAGCATTGTTTTCTGGAATTCAGCTTTGTAGTTTTTAACCTCTCTAGGTATATAAAACTGAATTATATCTCAATACAATTAATGCAGAGTATTCATGGACAAACAAACACTGAGCCTCTCTATGCCTACACATCAATGTATGATCACATGTGCATGATGGCACTTATAAAACCACCTACAATTTTCATAAGACATCTATTTAAGATTGTCTGCCTGTAGAAGCAGGTAGGAATATGTGAAGGTGCAGGCCCCTTCCATTCCTTCTCCAAAGGCTTCAGGGAAAGGAAGGCCTCAGTAACTTCTTCTTTCTGCACGCACCAAGACTTTAGCCACTTGGCGAGTGAGTTCATCCATCCACTCCAACTGATCCAGTTGGCCGTAGAGGACATCTTGGATCTCAGAGAACATCTGCTCGGCCTGCCATAGAGAAAAGAAGCCATTGTCAGAACTGCAGAAAAACATTGTTCAGGTTTAGCTACCATCTTCCCACATTCCAGCAATTCAACCACAGAATAATTGGGGGAAAATTCCTCTTCTTGTGATGAAAGAGGAGATTTCAGTTTCTACAATGATTTAGGCTTATGTTATTTGGCATCCAGTGCTCACAGGGCTCACCATTCTCTCCCATACACCTTTTCATCTTGCCTCTCATGGTAACTAAGAGGGAAACATAATTCTTTTTTATTCAATCCCTGTTGGGATAAGAATGAACCAAATGATTGCCCCACTTCTTGAGTGAAATGAAAATTCAGTATCCACAAGTATTTCATGCTATTGTCTCCCTTTCCGAATTTACGGCAATCTGAGTCTCTCATTCACAAAATTATGTTTTGTTCATTCAGCTTTGTGCTTCACTATACGTAGTCTTAGTTTTCCCATTAATTTTTATTGGGGTTATTTACTCTTGTCACTTTATACACTGCAAAGTCTTTATTAAACCTGGTGCCTACACTAACTTTCCTCAAAAGAAAAAGAAACTCTGATCATCAAAGGGAAAATAAAAAGAAATCTTTTCTACATTGCAGACAGGTATTCCTTTTACTGAGGATCCACTCAGAATGTTTTGGCATTGATTTGTTTGTGTACAACTGGTCATATGGTGGCTTAATGGCTTTGCAATTGAAAATCTTATTTAAATATGTCAGATTGGTGACGAATACTGTTAATACTAACTGTCATTCCAGGAAGAACATTGAGATTCCATGCAATAGTAGGGTTGTCATAGGTATGGTGCTGCTCACATGACTTTGCTAACAGTTGAGGTAAAGATAATAACTGGTATTTTAGCATTGATGATTCTAGCAATGACAGCAATGTCTTGTTCTGATATCTTTCATTCCCCAAAAAAGCAGAGGAAATGCCTAACTACAGCAATATGTAAAAAGGTATAAAACCTACACAGGATTTTGCTGCCTTGATGTGGCCCTAAGTTGGAATGTCAAAAAAAGAAAGAGATGAAGCTGAGCTTTGCTTGGGGGTAAAGAGGATTAATACCTACAAGTTCCTTGTTCTGCTGAGGGAAAATTTCTTGCACAATCATCTGCCCTAGAACTGGCTCAAAGAAAGAGCTGGTATCAGACAAGCACCTCCTCCAGCGCTCAGCTGGGACCTGTAAGAACAGAGAAACACATAGAGTGAGAGTGAAGACAAAGAGCTAGGAAGATCGTAAAAAGATATGTAAACTTGCAGTCAGTAGCACATACGGTGCTATCCAAAAATGACAGCAGTGGATGATAACTAATGTAGTTCCATTTAAGCTACCCCAGAAAAACTTTAATCAAGTAAAACATTGATTTCCTTATGATTTACTCCACTTACTTTCACACAACATGAAGATTCATATGCTAGCTGAGACAAATACATAGAAGAAAGGTGACCATCCATATATTGTTCCCTACCCCATGATACAATGCACTTAGCTCTCTAAAGTTTTGTGTGTCATGTCTTCTCCCACATTCTTTCAGAAAAAGGAAGTACTTAATGGCCTAGTGAGAGTAGTTTTCCTCCCCACATTTAAGAAACACCATTCAGACAAGGCATCAAGAGAACATCCAGAAGGTGTGTCCTAGGGTATTCAGCTGCAGGGGAGGCAGTAGAAGATTGTTAAAGGCTAACTCACCATTCTAGATCCCGTTTTTCCATAAAGAATCTTAGATAGCTCCAGGCGTGCATCTTGGAATCGACTGTCAAGGGCTGGGGAGAGATTCCCAACCAGACAAACAATCATATAAATGTGAAGAATCCTGTAGGAAAATTACATGTAGAAAGGCAAGATTGAAGGTTGGTCACTATAAGCCCAAGGCGTGGCAAGTGTCAGCAGAATAACTGGAGGCAGGGGAGCCCCAGTAACATGAACAATGACAACAAAGTACTCTGAGTGGGCTACACCTGGGGCCATCAAAGGAGGATGATTTGACATGAGTCAAGAAAAGAAACTCTCTCCCCAGAACACCGTGAAGACTCAAGGGTTAATTGTCTGCTGGGTCACAAGATTCTTTATGGGAAGCAGGAGAAGGAGCATTTTTAGGACTGGGTGAAACTTATTACAGAATATTTTGAGGGGTCTGTAGTATTCTGTGAGACTTACTATGGGATGTTTAGGGGAAGGACCAAAGGCAGGGAAAGGGAAGGATCGTGGTGGATTGGGGGGAACACGCATGCGAAAATGCAGAGGAAAGGTGGAAAGAGGAAATGCTAGGTGTAAACTTGTGGCTTGCTAGGACATCTGTCTGATTGAGCTCTGCACATGGTCACCAGAATCTGTCCTATCTTATTAAATACTATTCTTAAATAACATTCTACTCTCTGTGTGTGTGGATGAGACTAGATACTAGAAGGACAAGGAGTCTAAGAGTTGACTGCTGGAGGGACTTTGGTTCAAGGTAGCTGCTGGAGAGTTCTGCTTGGACATGCGTGTTTGTAACAGGAAGACATCAGAGTACCCGCAACCAAATCAGGGCTGCAAGACTCAGGGGCTCATATATCCAGGTCCCAGCAGCTGTGGACACCAGGGGATCTGAGGCCAGCTTCTGGACAGACTGAATATCTAAGACTAGCTATTGGAGTGATCCATATTGTATGTGTACATACATATATTTCACTAGTATAGACCAACCCTGACCAGTTGGAGAGAAGGAATAGGATCAGGCTGCCTGAGGTGTTCATGTTTGTATGAGTGCTATGGGTGGGTGGGTGGCAGTTAGGGCACTGCGTTCCATCTCTGTTGATCTGTGTGACACAAACACACATATATATATTTATACATATATGGTGCATGCATGTGCAAGCCTATTGGGAACATACGCTAAGCCTTAGTACTGGCTAAACCTGTGGATCTAGAACCACAGTAGCCTTGCAATTGTTAAGCTACTGAATTCTGCAGCCTCTAACACAGACCTCTTTAATTTAAGGTATCGGAAGTTAATATTTCTTGAGGCATGAACAACTACCACCATAGATACTGACTCCTACCTTTCATCGTGCCATTGTTCGATGAGCTGTGACATGCGTCTTAAGTAATCCATGTCATGCACCACAATTGGCTGAGAGAGGTTCATTGGCATAGGATGGAAGACAGCCTGTAGACATGACAGCCAGTCAATAGCAGGTGCCTTTTCCTAGAAGTAAAATAAAGCTTAAATGCTGAACTACAAATCAAAATTGACTGACAAGAAATAATAGGGAAACTGGGATAGTCACTCTAATGCTGTTAAGAGATACTGTCAACAAGTTAAACTGTTTTTATGATGTGGGTATTGAAAAGAAAAGGAGAACTGACTTTTTTTAAATTGAATTAGCACTGAGGATGGGAGGGAGTTGTGGGCATGAAAAATCCAATTGCTGTCAATAAAAGACCGTAAGTTAATAGGTTATTTAAAGCTCAACAGACTCTAAGTATAAGTTGCAAGGGAACGGCATCTAAAGAGAGTGTCTCGTATCTCTTTTGATCCAGATGTTCAGAATGTGAATGTCACATGTAATTCTCTTGCTCAAGTTCTAAGGCATAGATACCTGTAGGTCCCTAATGGTAGTGCGAAAGAACAGCATCCCCCTCTGCTGTCTTTTCTGCAGTGGGGTGACAGCTCGCTGGAGGTTAGAGATGAAGGACAAGGTAAGGGAAAAGGAATCAGGGGGACCATCCTGTGGCCCTCCAAGTAGGCCCCCCAGTTTCTTCAAATATGAGAGATATATGCGGAGAACCTGCAATAGAAAGCACATGACCAGTGGGAGAAACATGACTGAGAATTAGTCACCCCATTCATCCATCCAACCATCCATCTTGACCACATAAGCTGCAATCTTTCAAAACCACTGCAGCCCTGTCCCTAAAACTGTCTTCTTCACTGCAACATCCTTATGTAATTCTTCATGTGGCATACAGTTTGCCAAGTACAGCTCCTCTCCCAGTGAAGAACACTGAATTCCCACAAGTTTATTTTTGTCCCAGCTTACAATCACATTAAATACTGAAATCAATTTAGAGATGTAGGCCTGCAATCTCTGGAGCCAGAGGAGAGAGATATAGTCATATCATAAGCCAGTATTTTTGGTGCAGAGAAAATGCCAGCTTCTTGCTTCTGTGTTCATGAGGTAACAAAGGAATGCTTGTGATGGGTAGACAGGCTTATTTTTTAGAGGACTCTTCTGAAAGAGTCAGACTGAGAAACTGAAATCAACTCAGTTTTTATAAAATTCACAAAACTATCAGAGCTGTGATGAAATTAACTTTGTTGCAATGACTCCCCGCGTCAAAGAGCTTGTTTCCCCAGCTTAGGTTAAAACATTTTAAAATAACTTGAAAAATGCTAGCTACTGCTCCCCAATACATAGATTTTAAGTTATAAAGCCTTACTTTGAACATTTTTTTAAACATTCAGTTAAGGTGAAATCTAGAGGGAAGCCCAGGTTCATATTACTTAGCAAATATGAATTAAATCTATAACATTCTGTTTCTACACTAGAAGTTTTAAACCTGGCATCTAAAAATGAGTTACATTTTACAAACCATCTTTTTGGAAAAGTAGAGAGTTTTGTAAAGAATTCCTTCTGGAGACGTTTTCAGAGGTCACTGACCGTAACCCATGGAAACAGATCAGTCTGAACCAGGAGGCAATTCAAGGACATCCCTTCATCAAATAGCTATTTTTACCTTTCTTCAGCCTCTGATATGTTACCTCAAGATAATTTTTCTCTTTAAATTTACTCTCAGGTGGCATCTCAAACTCAGGATTGTCAATCTGCAAAAAGGAGAAAAAGAAAAACATCTCACTATTTCCAGAAACACTGGAAATGTCAGGATAAGCTCAACAGGCTTTGTTAACTTCTATGTCACAGAAATTGTAATATTAATAAATTGTTTTGCTTTTGGAAAATGTTTGCTAAGTAATTTTTGTGGATTTATCATATTCTGCAGCTCATTTACAAGCTCACTACACACCTGCAGTGATTGATATTCAAAGGTAAACCACATTGTTAAATATTTCTACATGATGCACTAGTTTTGGCTGGGATAGAGTTAAATTTCTTCATAGTAGCTTGTATGGGGATACGTTTTGGATTTGGGATGAAAAAAGCAGTGATAACAAAGGGACACTTAGTTACTGCTCAGCAGTTCTTACACACCATCAAGGCCTTTTCTGTTTCTCAGACTGTCCCACCAACGAGCAGGCTGTGGGTGCACAGGAAGATGGGAGGGGACACAGCCGGGACAGCTGACCCCAATGACCCGAGGGATATTCCATACTATATGACATTATACTCAACAATAAAAGTGGGAGTGAAGGAGGTTGGCCAGGGTTGCCATTGCTTGGCACCTGACAGCAGTGGTCGGTTGGTGGTGAGTAATTGGGATATTTTTGCAGTACTTCTTTTTTTAATTTTTTTTTTTTTTAATTATTAAACTGTCTTTTTCTTAACCCATAAGTTTTCACACTTCTCCCCTTCTGATTTTCTCCCCCATCCCGCTGGGGGAGTTTAAACCACAACCGTGAGCTGCAAACTTCATAGTACATTATGTGTATTAGACACCTAGCACTTATGGTCCATTATTGTACTAGTCATACCCATGAACATAAGAAGAACCACACCTTTCCATGACAAAGTATAACCTACACTGTCAAGCAGAAGTGATGATAGAAAGCAAGGAATTTATTCATCCTCATCTGCTCATTTTCCAGAAATAAGTGATTTTTATGTAATAGAATCAAGAACTTCACTGAAATTTAGGAAAATTTTCTTCAGAGGAGAACACAGGCTTAATTTGAGCAAGCCTGGGTCTCATGGGCTGTATAACTGACTATTCCCAGTGCTTCCTGATAATTTTCTTTCTTTAGTCTACTCACCTGAATAATATTGGTCTTGAGGTCAAAAGGAGTAGGTCCCACATGGACTGTGAAAAAGGGAAAGGTGCTGTATCTGCCCATGAGAGTCTGAAGAGTTTCATTAAAATCTTTTGCTTTCGCCACACCTGTTATATTCCATCCACCAACCTAGAGAGGGAGAGAGACAGCATGACAGCAGCTGAGAAAAACACTTGTTTGATCCATATTTACAAAATCTTTTTTTCACTCTTACGAGCTCAGTCATTATGACAACTGAGGAGTAATGTAGCAAATAGCAATAGGGGAAGATCATGAAGAGTTCTACATACCCTGTTGGCTTTAAAATAACCTGTCACTTTTGCTTAAGCAAAGCAATGAACTGCAAAATGACATAGGGAAAAGGAATGATAATTATCAACAGAACAAGGTGTACAGGAAAAAAAGCAGGAGAAGGAGAAAGGAAAGAGGTCTCATTGTTCTAAAGCCATCCAGAAGGACAACCGGGCATCAGGGACTACAGGTCCCGCCGCCCTGACAAGCAGATTCACAGGTGGACCTGCAGCCACTGTTCCTTCTGCTGGAAGGTTCTGCATCCTCCTCAGAGACAGGGCATAAATGCCCTTTGCCGGCAGGAAGATGTACAACTCTCCCTGGCACTAAGAGGAGTCTCCCAGAATGGAAGGAGAAGCATTTTCCTCTTTAAACAAGCTCCCCTGAAGCCTGGAGTAGTAGATGGCCATCAGATCTTACACACAAAAATTTTGCCCATTTTGCAAGGTGTTCCCTGATCTGTAAGCTGGATCCTATTGAACTGAGCTGCTGAGATTAGAAGTGATCTCTCTTTGCAGTCTTGGTTGTTGTACAGTCCTAAAGTAATACGTAAGGTCACGAGGAAAGATTCAGCTACCTGATGTCAGAAAATCAAATTTTGAAACAGCATTTAAAGCTAGAAGATTTATCACTTAGAAGTTATACTGTGAACCATGAGCTTATTTCAGGCCCAGATGCTAGCAAAATTCCATCATGTAGGACCATATGACTCTAACTTCACACTTCCCTTTTCCCTGCAGGAACTACCTTCTGGAGGGAGAGAAAATAGCACAAGCATTCACCTGATTTAGGAGGTCCTTCAATGGTTGAGTTCCTTGGGATTCTATCCGTTGGGTATCCATGCAGGAGCGATAGAAATGGATTGCTTTCTCCTTAGCTGAGCCTCTTATCCCAAACTGTGGACCCTCTGAGGAAAAAAAATAGATTAAAAACTACAAAAGTGGTAAAAAAATAAAAAAGTCGGGGCAGTATTAGAGCAGAGAAAGGTTCTAAGAAACTATTACACTGCATTATTTTGATTCAGAACAATTTAGTAAATACATCCACACTTCCCACAGTCACTCAAAGCAAAAGATCTTCCAGTGTCATGATTCTTCCTGAGGCCGAATATGTGAGTTTCTTTGCATGGAAACAGGAGTACAACAGGAAGGTGGTGCGTATCTAGGCTTCAGTCCCACATGGAGTCAGGACACGTGACCAGTGTGCACATTCAGACAAGCACAGCAAAAAGAGTCTACTTTACCAAGGCAACAGGAAAATGGCTTGGGTTGCTGTCAGAATTTTAAAGCGTGACTTTCATCTCTTACACTTGGCAAGGGGAACTAAAATGTTTAAAACACAGCTATTTCAATATGACATGCTCAAGAATAAATCTGTATCTGTAATGACAGAAGAATGAAGAGATTGGACTCCCTCCCTGTTAGGAATGATTGTGCTCTCAGTTATTAGTATTCTAAGTTCTGACTAGGGAAGATTCTGAACATAACACACCAATCATATGTCCCTACCTAAAAGCCTTTTCAGGATCAACTGGTTTTCTTCCAACAACACATCAAATACATTTAGTGATTCTTCTGTGGTTCTGCTTGAGTGTTTGCCTTTCCAGTTGCCACAGGCATATTTGTAGAAATCCTCACAGGGGTCTACAGTGTCATTCCTGGAATTCAGGAGACTGCTCAACAGTGTAAGACCCAGTTCGGCATCACAGGATCCTGGGCAGGAAGTAAATAGGAGAGAACTGAGCAGAGAGAACCAGTCACAAGCCAGATTATTCTGCCTTCTCAGTGTATTTTCTCTGAGTCAACCAAATTTGGTCAAATCGTAAACAAGAAGCAACGACGGTGTCAATACATGAAGCAAAAGAAAGACATAGCACAGAGAAAGTAAGGAGATAAGTTTAAAATGTGGAGGAAGATGTTCAAGCATGGGAAATATTTCTCAGCAATTATATTTGTTAAAACAGGACAAAGACTTTCTAGTACATCTTGCTTTGATCTAAAACTCCCTTTATCTAAACTGCTGCAAATCACTGGGTATGTGTTCTCATTTTGGTTCAGTATCTTATACCAACATCAGATCAGATCAATCATTTACTGAAATAAGCCACTTGTAAATCAAAGCAAGACATTCTATACTATGGTTTCAACAGTTGACTTGGGAGGAGGTAGGCAGAGTGGAAACAGACAAGATCTAAACTAACAGTTTTTCCTTCGTCTCTGTAGTGAACGCTCTCCAACACATAACAAGGGCTAAAGAAAAATGCTAGGCGAAGAGTCAGTAATGTTTATTTTGGAGCAGGGAATGTCTGTATCCACCAATATAAATGCACTTTCAGTACTGAGCATTCTGTATGCATAAACATTTACATGGACCATTCTACAGATAGTTGTTTTGCAAATTTGAAAGGTGAATTAATATTTCTGATCTATGCTCACCGCTCCCCCATTAGGAAGAGGCTATGACTTTTCTTTCTACACTATGACTGCACTGGTCTGTGCTAGAAAACTGGGACTAGACTTACAAAGTCAGAGATGGAAAGGTGGAGGAGGACTTAGATTCAGTCCAATTTCCTGGAGGTGACTACAGACAGAACATGACCCGATGATGAGATGCAAGACAATATAATGATGCTCTCCCCCCAAACTGGGCCCAGGCATATTAAATGGCAGGTAGAGGAGGAGGACAGGTGTGGGGATCTCTCCCAACTGTGACCCAAGAGGAACAGTGTATGTTTTTTACAACTAGTGTCATGATTTTTTGAGATTCTGAAAGTCTGATTCTTAACATAGATGCTAAGCCTAATACACAATGGAGGCAGATAGGAGATAAAGGGGTCTTACAAATGGGGTGGATGAGGAAGCAGGGAAAAGGATATCCCATATTATACCTAGACCACAAGTCATCATGATGTAGGTGATAAGCAGTGTAAAGCCAAGGAGACTACTGAGAAGTGTACACAGAAGCAGGCTTTTCCCCTGAAGGCATCGTTCTTTCTTTGCACCTGTTCTCAGCTCCTGGTCAGAGGTCTGAAGAGAGAAAAATGAGACAAACAGAAAAAATGAAGAAAGAAAAATTCATATTAAAGTTAGTACTGGTCATGTACTCCATCTTCCACCTAATCTACTAGAAAAATCACTCACAGGACTAGTGCCAGAATACCAACGGCCATCCAAGTCATCTAGGTGACTGTACTCCTGGGGGCTTTCTCACATCCTTCCTTTCCCTGTCTTTTCCAGCTACAGCTGTTGCACAGTGCTATGAATTATGCATCGAAAAGCCAGCTTGCCATGAGGAGGTCTGTCTCTCCATAGTACCTTCTGGTTTATGGAATCACCTTGCATATACCTCCTGAAAATATCAAAGCCTTTTTGGTCCATAAAGCTAATAACAGGATGGCTAGAACTGGTGGTTCTTTTTTCTGTTACAGTCTGGCAACCTTAGCACTAATTTCAGATCTCTCCTCAAGAAATAACTACTGTATCCTATGCCCTCTAGTCCAGTTCAAGTGAGGGAAAAGATTTGCCCTATTCTAAAAACTGCACTAATCTGCAAGTCACAGAGAAGATCTTACATACAGACAGGTTTTATCTCACTTAAATTTAGTTATGTTCATAATCTAGGTGTGTCTTTTTAGTCAGTGGAGAAGGCTAGGCATCTCATAAGTACAGCTTCTATTTTAGACCCTGCTCATGGCAGAGGGGTTGGAACTAGATGACCTTTAAGTTCCCTTCCAACCCAAATCATTCTATGATTCTATGACATCTGTCTTAGGATGAGCTGAAGCATCCTCCAGAGTTACCTGGGTTTTTTCTCCATTGACAGCAAAGGAAGCTAGATGACTATGTTAGGATAGACCCTACCTGGTCTACCTGGATAACATCTACCTGGATAAAGTTAGATAAAATGACATCTACTCTGTGTGTCCACTGCTTCTACCTACTTTGATGTACATAAGACTGGAAAACAGCAGATTACAAGAGAACAGACATGGGAATGGATGCTGGTAATATAAGGAAAAGTAAAGAACTGAAAAAAAGTGGAATAGTGGAATAGCTGAATAAGAATATCCAGTGAGAAAAAGGAGGCAGAAGGGAAAAAAACAGAAGATAATGGAAAACCTCAGAGAAAGAGGGATAGAGAAGTAATAGCATAGCAAGAAAGGAGTAAATCTTGTAGGCATAAAAGCTGATGGAATGCTACTTTGAGAGTCTTATACGCCGGTGTCCGGGCCTGGCCTGTACTGTCCCCACCGCCTCAAGTTTATTTCCCTGTGCTCAAGACTGGTTCTCTGATAAAAGCAAGCTGTCTCAAAAACCTTGACAGGCCTTGGAGCCATTTGAGAAAAAGCCAGAAGCAGCCTCAGTGGAGGTGCCTACTTCTTCACTTGAGAGCTGCTTTTTGCAGCTCTCATGCATGATCTCCATCTGAGCTACGCTGCAGCAGCAGCCATGCCAATGGCTGGCCATGTACCCCATTGGTCTGGATCCTGACCTTAACCTAGACTTGATTCTGCAGGTTTGAGTTTGGACCTGCCTCCTCACAATGGACTTGCCTGGCAATCTATACCCCTGGTTGACACTGGCTATTGTCACCAGACCTGCCTTAACCCCCTCACTCCCGCACTGGAGGGGTGCATCCCTTGCTGGTAAAGTCATTACTTCTTGCCTGCCTTGTCATGACTCTCAGGTTCTAGATTGTCTTCCCTCCTCTACCCTCGCTGCTCCCTTACATGCAACAGCTAAACCGCATTCATCACCACACTCAGTAACTATCTTCTCTGCCACAAACACAGAAAACATAGATCTTTACAAAAATCACAGGAAGAAATGAAGTAAAATCCTACAAGAATTAAGTACCTCAGCATACACCCCTTCGCCTGAGGAAAGGCTAAGGAAATGAATGAGTCTGCTGTTAATCATCTTGCCTAATATACCATGTACAATTCCTGTACAAAAACATTAAGAGAAAACACGGAAAGAAATAGAAAACTCATCATTTTGTATCTTTCAAATGTGCATTTTATTCAATCATTAGCAGAAGCTTTTCAAAAGCATATGTCAGCTTACTTGACTCATGGTAACTGTTAACAAGGGCTAAATGCCTAACTGCTTTTCTCTCTTTAAAATTCTATTCTCCTGACTTCTTTAGGCAGGATACAGAATAACTAAAAGGAGAGCAAGTACATACAAGTGTATCTTGGTGTTTAAAGTTGGTAGCTACAGAACATGATCATACTGGCAAAGTACAGCGTAGGAAATATAGAGGAGGAAATCCAAATTCCTTTCATATGCCGCTGTGGTGAAACACTTTAGCTTTTACTCCTTAAGTAGAGGGTAAGTGTCACAACATAACAGTATGGCAGAGAAGTGAGCAAAAGAAAATTTGCTTGGCTGAAAAGGAAGAAGAAAAAATATTCTTAAACGTGCAAGCCCTCATCTCTCACCATTTAGGAGAGAGTGAATGATTTACATTCACAATGCTCCTGACTTCTCTGTTGCAATAGATTTCTTGTTTTTCACATTAAAAATCCGGCCTGCTCCTACTATGAAATATTTATAATTTTGCAATTCTTTGGCCTCATGCTATCAGAGGACATCTGGTTGTCTCTTTCAAGTAATAAATGGCATGGCTGTGGAGATGCTAACAAGAAATTGGTATTTCAAGACTGTCACTGCAATTTCTGCCAAACTTCTGGTTAACAGTAGGTCTATATCGGGCCTATACATTATGTTGCTTTTGAAATGGAAAATGCATCAAATAATAGATTTTTTTAAATCTGTAAGAGAACTAGACTGTCCCCCTCAAGACTCCAATGTGAAATAACTCGAGAAGTAGCTAGCTGAGAACAGCATACCCCAAAATAATAGCATAACCCATAAGAAGAGACAGGGGAGTGGAAATTGGTTGTGTACCTCTACTTAGAAACTGGATTAAGGTCTGTGTTATGTGAGCCATAAGGATAAAAAGTGTTCTTCAAACACTTCACCTTCCATAAGGAATGTCTTTCTAATCTTGCCTCTGTTACTGGGGTTGGATTTGAGAGAACTTGTGGACCTACATAAACAGAGAAAAAAGAGGAGGGCAGTCATACTTAGTCGTCCCCTATATCTTTTTCATGACAACAGCTTAAAGAAATCTAGACAGACAAATACCTGCTCTTTCCATACTCTTACAAAGATACTGACCTCGGCAATATCCCTGTCAGATTCTTTATCTAGTGTGAACTTCACTTTCATGCCACAAATGGACTAAGTGGTTTACAGGCACTGAAATACAGATCCCTTCCTAATTCAGGGATCCTTGGTGAAGGAAGTGTGGATTTAACAAGGTGGAACTGGAGGTGGGATATGAAAACTTCCAGGGCATAGGATGTAGGAACATTACATTGCTTGCAGGAAGCAGAAGCACCTTACTGTGGTCAGAGGCTTGGTTGCCTCACCCAGCATGCACCTTGTAAAGAGACAAATGAATAGTTTGAACAAGCCTGTGGAAAAGGATAAAGAGCCTTTAATCTCTGACAGAGCTTTTCCATATGCGCCTCGCTTATGAGTAAGTGAGAAGAATTATTAGGGTTTGCATGAAGTTGAAGATGAATGCAATTTCCAGTACAGATTCAGTTCTTTCATGCTTTTTTGTTTTAACAATATGCAAGTGCTCAAATTTAAATGACTTCACTGTAGCTAAGTGAGATCAAATGACTGTAAAATCACTAAAAGTTGACTTCTCCTTGTCCTGAATTAAAAAATTAATAATTTGGAATTTATGTACTACATGAATAATTTGATTTAAATATGAGCATGACTTAGGCTAGAAGAATCTTGACAGGTATTGTTATCACTAAAGCAAGAACTTTTCAATGCAACTAAATCAGCCAAAGAATTTGATTTTCCTTCAGCATCTCCTTCTTTCTGTTTGTGAGCCGTTCCTGAATTCTGCAGGGAGGCTGAAGTTCCTCTGCCTAATTCTTCCTCACCTTGCATTTGCCCAGGGTTTAGTGCTGTTGCAGAAAAAGAAGCATCTAACTTTTATGAAAATTAAGTAAATTAAAATAAAGAGATTGAAGGCAGGGAGAATTGGAGTTATTTTGCATAACTATTTACTGGACAATTTAGGGGTATTATTTTTAGCCAGTAGATTATTCATGAATTACTGACTTTGGCTGTTACCCAAATTGTGTTTGTCACATTAGTCATGTGGATGATATGTTTTCAGACTAATGCCCCAATACTCAGAAAAACTTCAATATTTTCTTATATTTGTCTTTTGACAGCAAACCACTTAAGCACATAAATTGAGTACGTTAAATGCCATTTGAGAAATAATATTTTAGCCTATGTTCAAAACATAGTACCTGCTAACATGAGAAAATAAACAGAAAGTTTGCTGAATTATATTCTGGACTAACAAAAGTTTGAAGCATAACCATGGCCAATAACTATTTAAAATTATGATTGTTGTCTGATCTTTATCACACAGAAATATGAGAATGGATATACAAACCAAACCTTTCTGCAAATTCTTCAGCCAGAAAAACGCAGACCAGATAAAGTGATCGTTTGCATTACAGCCGCAGCTCCTGCAAGACTGAACAGCTCTCAACATAACAAAGCATACACATATCTTGGTTTATATTATTTATTTACATAGAAAACTTTACTTATCTCTATTGTCCTTGAATGTTTTGTACACTTTAGCAACCCTGAGCTAACAGTTCAGTTAGGCGCTATTTGTCTGTAAATATGCAATTAACACTTTACTAGCTATTTATGTAAGACACCAAACCAGGAAAAGGACACCATGCTACATGGGGAGCAGTTAGGCTTACCATGTCATTCTCACATTGAGAAAACTATGCCATGTCTACCAACAATTATTTGTGGGGAAAAAATGTGAGTGTTTCTGCGTAGGTACTTTCTTAAAATAATTTGTTGAAAAATTTGGGATACAATAACAGACGCAAATTATCAGATTATTATTATTGTTGTTGTTGTTGTTGATACTTATTAGTCAGTGTTTCAAACAGACCTGAATACAGCCTCAGAATGGCCATTAGGATGACTAACAGGAAGGGCAAGAACCCCCTAAATCCTCACACCACATCCTGTATCATTAATTCTGAGACCTGGACAAGCCCCTTGTAGATACCAACTGTCTAAAACTCAACTGCTCCAGTTCCCTAGGGCAATAAGCAGTGTAGCTGTGACAGAGGAAGAAAAAGAGAGGGGTGCAATGAAGGTACCTCAGCAAACTGCAAGACAGACCTATTTCCTTACCTCTGGAAGAGTCCTCATCTCTGTCACCGAGCAGGCTTTGCTCCTGTGGTTTCCACGGTTGTCAACTCTGTTTACGTGTTTACTATCAGTCTTCCGTGCCAAGACACACAACTAAGTTCAGAGGCAATCTCTCCTTCCCAGCTTGGCTGATTGCTGTGGGGAGAACAGAGAGGAAAAGCTCTGAGAAAAACGCCCTTAAAGAAAATGGGAGGGAGGGAAATGGATACATTTCTGCCACTCTCCACCCACCTTCTTTTCTTTACACCTTTACTTCTCGTGAAACTGTATTTTCCGCTCCCTTCTGCCTCTCCCTGTGACCCACGTGACTTTCTGTCTCTTGGCGCTGCACGGAAATCTTTTTGAACAGAAGTATGTGATTCTCTATCTCCCCCAGCCTCTTCTCAACTATTTGCTGCTTCTTTTCTCTCCAACAGCCTTCACTATCCTACCCACCCAACAAGCCTGTTTTGGTCTGATATTTTCACTGCTACCAGCCTGTTTCAACCTGCTGCTCTGGGGCCTGGAGGCCTCTGCCTATTGCAAGATAGTGTGGGTTATGGATCCTAGTGCTCCTCCTCCCGCAAAAGAAAGGCCAATGTGCTGACTTTCTTTTTGCTCCTTCATCTGCATCCAAAAGTCCATTCAAGGGGTGAACGCAAACCCACTTCTTTTTCTTTTGCATTAAGAGGTATAAAAGAAATCATTCATTACTGATTCTATTTACAGTTGTTCATTGCTTCTCAGGTGATGGCCAGCCTGAGTGTCTTTCCTTTCTTAGGGATGCATATTGGAAAGATTTGGGAGGGAAGTTTTTCTGCTCTGAGGACTGGGAACCAGGATCACTTCCCTGAGACATTAAACACTGAATATTGGACGTTGGGAGTTGAGACCTTCTCAAGTGGCAGCTGGGAGCTGAGAGAGATGGTGGGGACCAGTTTGGTGTCAGCTTCCAAAATGACTGAAACAAGCAGAATACCAGGACAGAATTGTTTACCTCCCCACGTTGCTAGTCTTTCAGGGGAATATGATGTCTTGGTTCACTAGTCTGAAGATAATTAGGTATCTGTTCTGTTGTTCAAAGCTTCCCAAATCTTTGGTCTATCTCCTAAAGTCCAGATCTTCTTCCTACCTTCATCAATCTGATTTTTTCCCTATTCCTGTAGTGCTTCCATAGTTTCTTAATATCTTTGATTATACCATGACAACAGACTTATTGTATGTCTGAAACCAGTTACTTACTCCCAGTTCTTTCTACCTCTCAGGTCACCGGTAGCTATATATTTCTACATTTACCAAACATCTCTAAATAGTCTAAAAAAGATCCTTGTGTGCTGCAAAAAAGATCCTTGCTGACCCTTCTTTCCTTGCAATAGGTCCCAGCTTAACATTAGAATCCAATCTGCAAATACTTCTTGCATAAGTGATTGAGATTCAACTTAGTGGAAGCAACAAGACACTCTTCTGGTAGTCACAACTCTTGCATCACTGGGAGGAGCATTACTGTGATCCATACTGTCCAACAGATACAGAGGTGCTTTGTTCACTGTGACCTAAATTAATTTACAGCTAGTCAAATCCCAGATCTTTGTGTCAACTGCAAAATGGGAATATGTAACAAAATTCATCCCTTATAATCCTTTGTTTCAACATAGCTTTACGTCTTTCATGTGTTTCTGCCACATTTGCCCTTGAGCCTTTTCCATTCTTCCCTACTTTCCGTCTCTTCTCACAATAGCTACAGTTCTAGTCCTCTCTCACAAACGCTTTTCAGTAGTTGCACTGATTGTATAGACAAAGAAATGGTATGCAAATGTGTGTAGTGACCTGATTAGTTTTAACTATAAGTGATCTTACAGTGGAAATATCTTTGTAAACTGACTAGACAAATTTGTTCATGACAACATGCAGTTTATTTATCTGCCTTATCTATGTGCCTGAACTCTTCCATCTTCATAATTACAGCATCTAACAGCTCCCAAGCTTTAAGTAATAAAGTTACTGATACTTCTTTTTTCTCTAACGAGCACTATCTAGGCTTTAAAATTTCTCAGGGCAAGGACTTTATTGCCTTTTTGGTTATAAAATGGCTATGGTCATTTTGAACACAATGTAATTTAAATTAAAGCAAGTAATAAAACCTTGGCTGAAGTATTCAGTTTTAAAATGAAACTTGAGGAGACCAAAAAAGCTTTTTGGTCAATATGCTGATTGGATATGACTGGAGTTAACATGGTTTCACGAGCAAGTATCTTTTAAACAGCCTCTCTACCTTCTCTTGATTAAATGTAATTTTACCACATAATTTCACAAAATGTTAAATTGATATTGCCACACCATATTTCTTGCCTCACACACACTATCTAGAAATACTTTGAATGTGTATATATGGATGATTTTTTCCAGACCTTGTAAACTAATCAGGACACATCTTGAGAAGTAGTTGGATCACAACCTCATTATAAATGTGCATAGGATGTTTCGGGAAATTAAATGCATGCCACTTTCTCAGTGAAGAGCATGGGTCTTTGAATTAGTACATGTTTCAGTGGTGCTGTGATGCTGAGAAAGCTGTCTTGCAAGATCTGACATGAAGGTGATGTTCCCTCTCCTAAGTCATCACAGAGCATAATAACGTTATATACCCGGTCTAACAGACACAACTGTTGGTTTCCATTGGAAGAGTAAGCTCCAGAGTAGCATTCTGCTGCAACAGCATTTGTTAAATAACTCAGTAGGAAAGTTGAACTGTTATGGAGGGAATCAGGTTGTTAAAACTTTTATTTATTCCAAAATTCATGTCCTTCTCCAAAGAGAATGTGGATTTATTTCACACAGATGGTCTCTCTGTGCTTGTACTCTGAGATATCCAGGTGCCCTGGTGAGGCCACATCTGGAGTGCTGTGTCCAGTTCTGGGTTCCCCAGTTCAAGACAGACAAGGAACTACTGGAGAGAGTGCAGCGGAGGGCAATGAAGGTGATGAGGGTACTGGAGCATCTCCCTTAGGAGGAAAGGCTGAGGGAATGGGGTCTGTTCAGCCTGGAGAAGAGGGGAGGGGACCTCACCAATGCTTATCAATCC